TAGTTTTCTTAACTTTGTTACGATAATAAAAGATGTTAAAATAAATATTATCAAATTTTTGAGAGTTCTAATTGACAATATAATTTATTCAATTGATATCGAAATCTTTTGATCAAATGAAACTTTGAATAGAAGAAGAATATCGAATGATCAAATAAATATTTATTAGAGATTTTTGAAAGTTTTTATTTCTCACAGGTACCAATGGATGTGTCATTGGTTCAACAGATTTAATCCTGTCTGTGGTTGAACTATAGAATTCAACAATTGAAAATGAGTATGAATCACTCTCATCTACAATAAGTACATTTTTACTATTCAATAACAATAGTTGCACGAGAAATTCGAAGTTGAATCATATTGTTAGTAGTAAATACCGAGAAATCTATTATGTAAAGTTTTACATTCATTGTCATCGTCCTATTAACATTAACATCATCTATAAGAAGTATAGTAGATCCATTATTAAGTAATGTACTTGTCAAGAGAGCACAATCTATATTCATGCTATTGATCTTAGCCAATGATTTTGATGTTGATCTAACAAATACAGTGTTATAGATAACAAACCTAGAACTGGTTTTTTTTCCTACAATGATGAGTATTTCTTCATTTTTGAAAAGTTCAGTTGTATATCCGAAGTGATCTATTAGCATGATTGCTGACATTAATGTGTTTATATTGATTGTACTATCATAAATTTCAACATTCTGTTCATGAAGAGTATATTGCCTACTTGCTCCTGTACGTCGGTATTATACTAATCATCAATCTTTGCTACTTTGTTAATTTATTACTGTAGAAGAAAGATATTAGAAAAATAATTTTGTGTACTCTATACTTTTGGTTTTTGAGGCTATGAACGAATAGCATATTGCTGGAAAGAAAATTATCTTCATTCAAATCTATTAGTGCATCCTTGATAGATTGTTGGTTCCTATTACCTTCTTTAGAGATTTCTTAAATGCACAAAATAAATAGATTGACATTTGTTTATATTCAACTTCTATTACATATACATTTTTCGGAAAGTCTTACTGGACAAACTCGATGTAAGCAACTTGAAGTGAGAATAATTATGGAGTCAATTATTTATTCAAGAAGAATATTTTTGTTTATCGCAAACGTAGACTGTTTTTGATACGTTAAATTGACTTTTAATAAACGACATCGAAAATTGTATTGATACTTTGCCATATAATTCCTTAATTTTATGTATAAATTATATAATTGATAAGAAAAAGGAAATATTTTTCATTCATAAGATTATAAAAATAAAACAAAATCATTGTGGCAGTCTTCCATCAGTTTGAATAAAATTTTTGAAGGTAGACTTTATGGACGAAAAGGATTTGGGCTATTTTCTCTAATAAAATACAATATTATATTTCATTCTGAAAAATGATCTTTATTCATATGTCTTTAATTCTGTCGTATGAAAACAAGCGCATAACTACTTGAAGTTCAATAATCAAATTTTCTATTGCTATTTTAATCAGCAAATTAGTACTTTTGACAAGATTTAATGAAATTATCTAGCTCATTTGCTAATCTAGGATATATTTATTACAACAATAATAATGCATGATTTGTCATCTTTAATAAAGAATACAGTGAAAAACTACTTTTCCAAGCAAAATTGAATAATTGTTCAAGGATAAAAATTCAAAGATAAAATTATTTTCGTTCAGATCGGTTGGGCAGACATGAACGGTCAAGAGAATTGTATATTGGAGTTCCCACATCTAAACTGTCTACTCACGTTTTGAATTTTTTCCAACATTCTTTAATCATTGTTGGTGTAGTTGCTATCGCCAGCACAATGTACATAAATGAAAATATAGTAAAGAGAATAATCCTAATTGGCAATAACATTGCTGGATCAGATGGTGATATTGATACACAGTAAGATATAAATGTTGACAATGTTTTTTTATATTCCTTCGTAAATATTGGTCTATAATAATGATATTATCGAACCAAACCAAATAAAAATAATGACTAGAAAAGAGAATAATTATATAATACTGTCAAACATAATCGTATATTTAAAAGATGGCATCTACACTTTATTTCGGATGTATAAGGGAAATTTTCGTGTCTACATTAAAGTGCATTCTGCAATAGACATCCTATTGTTATTAATTCATGATGCATTGTATTTTATTTCCATTGATCATGCAGTACCTTGGCATGCAATTGTTAAATAATCAATATGGATTTCGTGATGTCGAGAAGAGATCGAAGATCAATTATGATTTGGTCAACCTGCACTCTCTAAAACAAAAAAAAAGGTATCATGCTGAACCTTTCAAGGTTCTAGTAAAATCTAGTTTTATCTCAAACTTTTTTTCTTCTGCTCCAAAAACTGGTTCTACTTATACAAAAAAATGCCAGTTGTTCCGATATGATTATGATTGTCAATGAGAGCTCCATTCAACGAAATAATGCGATTGACCCATTCCCAGCTAGAACGACTCCTAAGATATGTTGGAACTAATTACTAAGTCCTTATTCATCATTATGATTATTTGGACTTGTCATGAGTTTCAAAAAAAATCAGAAATTACCTTTTCTCTCCAAATTGGTTACTATTCCCACTTAACATTACTCAAATTAGAGGCCACAAAAGCTTAGGTTATAAGAACAAACTTACTATTCGATAATGAATTGAGATGAATCGAGAAGATAAAAACAAATGATAGTAGTTATTCAAATTAAACTTACGATTTAACTGCTCATAAAATGAATTGAAATGAAAAAAAAGTAAATTTATTATTGAAAAAACCTTACCATTTAATTGTTCATTGAGAGAGGCTAAAGGAAAAAAATTAAATTTCATTCTTAAACACAAATTTACAATTCAATAGTTCATGAGACGAACCCAGACGAATAAAAAAAATTTTTCTTATAGACAAAACTCACCGTAAAACTGATCAAGTCTGAAGTATATTTTTGTTTGAATAAATATCGTTTAATTAACTTTTCCTGTAAGGTTGCGTGTTTAATATAATCATATTTTAGGATCTGCAGATAGAATGAAGAATTCAGCCGCATCTATGTTATTTTATTTTTATTAAATCTGTTTCGAGTAACAAATGTATAATAAAAAGTTGCAATGATACTAGTGACGTTAGAATCAAAGGCACAAGTCTATCAGAATATCTATAACATTCTTATAAGAAAACTTGAACATCAATGCAGCTTATTGAAAGAAGAAATCAGAATTTCATCACAATGACAATCATCTAATTCATATGTATAATATAAAGTGAGAGCCTGGGTGTGGGTCTTCTGTACACTTACACTCACCCACACCTGCATTAGAACCATCTCCGTAAAAGAAGTTCAGCATTAAAAAAAGGGGTGCGAGATAGAACTCTTTTGAACACCTGAAACCTTTTCTTTTATTCAACATGATTCTTTAAATTATCTAGAACATTTGATGATTTATTAATGAATAAATGAAACTTTTAAAAGTTCAGCATATTCTCTAAAACCATGAATGGTTCCTAATGACACCTTGTTTTTTTTAGAGAGTAGCGAAGACCAGTATATTCAATAAATGCAGTAGTTGTTATCCTGCGATTTCCTAGTATATGAGTTGCATGGACTTTCCGAACAACCTGATAGTTTAAAAGTTGATTCAATATTTCAATCGCATGAAAACACTAGCAATTCTGTACTATAAAAGAATAGAGTCATTGGCACTATCGAACACACTATGGCACCATGTCGAACAGTTCGACCTTTATGACATTTGAAAAGTACTTCACGATACTTCATGGTACTTTATGCTATTTTAGGTACTTTAAATTACAGAAGTATCATATATTTCTCCGTTGCAGGAAAGCCTAAATACTTTATCATACTTCAAGATTTGAGTATGAGTGAAGTACGACGAAATATTTAGGCTTTAATGCAAGACAGACTTGTATCAAATGAACTCAAAATAATACATTCATGACACACATTGATAGAAGACTTGAAATAGCCAAGTGAGTGAAGAAAACATGCCCATCCACTATCCAACCTACACTCCAAAGGACTGAAGGGCGAAAGATATGAAAGTAAAACTGAATAAATTCAATTTCTCGCGGCTCCCTCTCAGTTCGATGTTTTTTCGTTTCACAACAAATTTTTGTCGTATATCATGTTGATCAAAGACAAAACTCAGAAGAGAAAAATAAATAAAAAGTAGTCATTCAGTAATTGACATAATTCAAATAGCAAGGGTCTAATGATATCGTTCTCTAGATAGCATGAAATTATTTTTGTCCAAAGTGAAACTGAGATAGAAAAAACTTGATTTTGCACATATCCTTTATCGAATTAATTTTAAAATATTTCTCAAAAATCGATGGTTATCAAGTTTGAAGTTTTTACTATTAGATAAAGTAATTTGTGAACGTCCAGCTCTGTAAGATTTATTTAGGATCGAATTTTTTTCATAGCAATTTTCTTATTAACATCGTTTTCGTTGTCTATTATCGACGGGAGAATTTTATTGAAAAATCAAGACTTACTATATCAATCCTAATAAGTCTTGTGTAGATTGAGAGCATCTAAATTACTCTTAGTAAGTATATAATTAAAAAGATTTTAATAAAACTTTTTATTTATCAATAATAGATTATTCCTTCCTCTCCTTCTTTTACAAAAGATCAAAGCATTGCTTTTCCTTTTTTTTTTTTCTTCTAAACATACATCCTCTCTTTTCTCAATCCGTTTCATCTCATTTTCATTGATATCAAGTAACTAACCCTTATTTTCACGTGCCGCATTGTTAACATAGAAAAAAAGAAAAACTTACATCAGAGAACATTGCAAACGTGTCTATCCATATTCGATATCACCAATAAACATTCAATGTCATTTGTTAAATAAAAGTAAATACTTTCCCTCTATATATATATATATATATATTTATTGAACACAAATAAAGAAGAACAAAAAAAAAAAAAAAAAAGGAATAAAGAGAGATACATAGAATCTACTGTTCAAATGGAATGCATCCAATGTTCATCTTTAAAAAAATCCGGTATTTGATCATCTAAACGTTGAATAATTTTATAAATACTTTTTTTCCATGATGGTTCAAGATCTTTTTGTTGTTGTATAGCATGAAAAAATTCTCTTAATGTTGATTGTACAACATCACGAAAACTTATTGGAACCTAAATAAAAATAATCTTTTCTTTTTTTTTTTTGTTTTTATTTAATAAAATATTTAAAGTCTCTCATACATCAATTTGATTTGATCGATTGTAATGAAGATTAAGAACACGATATAAATCAGAATCAGTTGTTATAATTAAATCTTCAACATTTCGAATACCTTCAGCTAAATATTGTCGAGCATATTTTTCAATTTGAATATAAAAAAATTCACTAAAAGAAAAATTAAATAAAACAAAATTAAAAAAAAAAAGAAATCTTTTACCGAAAATTTGAAAACCACTTAACTAATTGTGCTGTTATTAATTTATTAAAACGTACATCAGGAAAATAAACTTTTAATACTGATGAACTTGGATAACGTGTATAAAAAAACATTAATTTTGCTTTACGTAAATGAAGTGATGTCAGAACTATCACGTAAAAAAAAAAAAGAAAAGTAAGAACAGATGTTTATTAAGTTAATGATACATTTTTCTATTTCGAAGGTTCGTATTACTCACTCACTCAATATAAGATAGATGGTCTCTATGACATTTACACTCGATTTATTCTTACTAGAAAAAAGGTCATTTTAAAAAAAAAAAAAAGAAAATACTTGTTTGAAAAGCATTATATTCAATTGTTGACTGTTGATGTTGATGATGATGATGATGATGATGATGATGATTTTGTGTTATTGATTCAAATGAATGATTTGATAAACTTTTATCATCGTCAATTAAATCTTCATGAGAAATTATTTTTGATGTTATACGTGGTGATAGACGTGTATCAGTTACCTTACAAAAGAAATAGATGTTTTCGTTTTTTTTTTTTTTTTCAAATAAAAGAAAATTTTACTTTAGTACGACGTTTTTTTGGTGTTGATAAACGAAAAGGAAATGTACGATCTGATAATGTATTACCAAAATGAATCATTGGCGGCGGTGGGGGTGGTGGTGGTGGTGGTGGAGGTGTATAATGATTAATAAATGAATTATTAAAAAGAATTTGAGAAATATATGGATGATGATGATGAATTGTTTGAGAAAAAATTGGTGGTAAAGATGAAGGAATACGTTTTGTTTCAATAGAAGCATTATTTACAGGAGAAAAAAATTCTTTTTGAAGATTTTCAAGAAATCGTGTCATAGATATAGGAGATGTTATATTATTTGTTCGTGCTAAATCTTGAATATAAGTTAAAAATGGTAAACTATGTGGTGAAAAAGGTAATATTGGTGGTTGTGGAATTGAAAATATATTCTAGAAAAATATATCAATAAAAAAAAAAATATATGAAATAGATACAAGAAAAAAAAAGACAATACTTGTTTTTCATCTTGACTATGAACTTCTCCAATTTCTTCTTCAGATGATGATTGTTCACCACCATCATCATTTATTTGATTATTTTCTTTAAGAAGTTGTTGTGGTTTTAATTGTTTTCTTGAACGTTTGTTAAAATGATTATCATCGTCTTCATCATCATCATCATCATCATCGTCATCATGAATTTTTGAATGTTTAATTAAAGGTTTTTGCTGTTGTTGTTGTTGTTGTTGTTGTTGTTGTTGTTCTTCATTATTATTATTATCAAGATATGAATGTGAACGTTTTTTTTGTTGAATTGAATCATTTGATGTTGCTGCCATTGGTGATATAGATGATGATGATGGTGATGATGGTGTTGATGATGATGATGAATCAATTGAACGTTTTTCAATAAGTTCTTGTAACATTTTTGTATGTGTAAAAGCCATATCATTTAAATGATTTAAATGTTGATGATAACGTGGATTAAAAACGGATGGAAGAAGATACGATGGAAAATTTGTTGTTGGTGGATTCATTATTTCTCAGAGTACCACTAAATAACCTTAAATAATAATAAAAATAACAATAAAAAAAAGAAGAAGAAGAAGAATGAGTTTTTTTTTTTCTTCTTTTATTGTGCATCGAACAAATAAAGAAAAGTAAATTTTTAGGGTCTCTTATCTCTGTGAACTTTGCTTAAGTTAGAAGCAGCATCTCTACGTGCTGTTTCTCAATGTTTTTAATATTCACACATCTCTCCCGAGACACTCACCATTTAGTGGTAAATTTATTCTTGACTCGTCCTGATGATTCGTCTGTTTCTTCTTCTTTTTGTATGTGTGTGTGTGTGTGTGTGTGTGCGTCGGATCAGATTCTGAAAGAAATAGAAAAAGAAAATCAACCATTCGTAGAACGTCCTATCTCATAGTCTTAAGAGTAAAATAGAAAGAGAGAGAGAGAGAAAAGAAAAGAAAAGAAATATTAACCAATGTCTTTGTCAAGAGTAAAAGAAAATTACAACTAATAGGAAACGGGAGAACGATGAACAAAGAAAGAAAATGTTTGACGTTTAAGACGAATGAAAAATCAGTATGCAAACGTGCATCACCTGCTTACTTTTTTCCTTTTTTTTTTTTTTTTTTGTTTTTTTGTATTTAAAAGAAGCATCTGCGCATGCCTACGAGATATCGAATTAAAAAATATTATCGATGGATAAATGATGATCGAAATAACAATATGCCCTTAAGGCTCTATAATCCTTGCTATGTTTTTATAACATCTTTTTGTTCAGATAAAAATTTAATGGTTAATGATTTCGAGAAATGAAAAATATATAATTCATATCTTATTTTAATAGAAAAAATCTTCAAAATATGTGTTTACAATAGTCAAAAAAAACAAATCGCATCATTTGAGAAACAGAAGCAATATTTGAATGTCATTGTTATGCTCGATAAAAATACATCTAAAAATAGGAAAAAATCTTCATATTTTTGCTGAATATTATCACTTAGGTGAGAAGATGTGCCAAGTTAACAAATGTATAGAACGTTTATCTTTTTTCTTTTTCTTTTTGTCTACTTTGTGTTTCCTTTCGGTTAATCATAATAATACAGGAAACGAGAAAGTCTCTCTTGCTTGTCCTATAAAGAGTAGTCTTGAACCAATTACAGAAAAGTATTCACCTTAAGGGTACCACCTAACCAACCAACATTTTTTTGTTATTCTTCTAATGAAAAGAACTTGATTGAATTGTTAATGAAGAGATTTAACTCAAAAAAAAAAAAAAAAAAACTCTTTTCTGTTGGTTTTTATGGATTGATGTAATCAAGCGTAAATAATGATCATCGATTAATTATTGTTTTGTCTTTATGGTGGAAAAAAAACAAATGAGAATAATAATAAAAAAATAATCCCGATATGATGATTATATTCTTCAGCTGTGTCACACTTTTTATTTTAAAAATATTTTGATACATTCAAGTTGGTGCTATTTTTCCTGTTGTTACTCCGCCCTTGTCGTCGTTTACAGACAATTTGAAATTTTCTATCACATCAATACCCATTTGATTGTATTATATATATACATGTGTGCGTGTGTCTCAAAGTGATGAAATCATTCGTCAATAGGGATATATATAGCGAGAGAGAGAGGGAGAAGGAGGGAAAAGTTAATTCTCTCTTTTCGTGTGAGCAGATGCCAGAGAGTTATGTTTTATCTCAAAGAAAATAATCTTCGATATTGATCTATAGGTGTACGTCTCTCTCTCTCTCTCTCTCGTTCTTTACCTTTAGTGCGAGAATGCGTTCAAGTGATCAAACACATGTCAACATAATTTTTTTTTGTGTTTCTATATATCACTATTCATCTCAAGAATGTTTAAATGATGTATTGTCATGCACTGTTGATTTCTCTTAAACAGATGTATATATTTTTCTCACTTTTTTTTTGTCTTCTTCTTCTTCTTCTTCTTCATTCAATATATTTTATTGGTAAAAATGGATTTTATCATCATTTATTCTAGTCTCGCACAAATGTCATTCTATCATTTCCTTTTTTTCTTTTATAAAAGAGAAAAAGCGAGAAGGCTTATTTCTTCCTCTTTTCATAGAGGCAATGAAAGAGTGCCAGCTTTTGATTAAAAGTAAAAGTTGTCTAATGAACTAGACGAGCAAAAAACACACACACACACACAATGAATGCATAGACCAAGTGTGAAATACATCCGCATCACTAATGACATCCCACCAGAACATGTTCTTTATATAGAGAAATACATGATAGATCATTCATATAGCTTGAAAATGCAAATTGAGTCGTTCTTTCAAATCAAGACAAGCGTAGCAAATCCGAAATACATGATAAATGCATTGTAAAAAAAGAATATAAGAGAAAGCAATTGGCAAGGTGATATTCTTCTTCTTCTTCTTCTTCTTGTTCTTTACATCTGTCGGATTATTAAAAAAGATAGTAATTCATTAAATGATACAGAATAGTAAACGATATTTATTGAATGAATAAAAGGATATTAAACCTCGAGCACGCGTAAGAGGTTAACAAGAAAGAGAATAAAAAAAAGAAGAGAAAGATGAAGATGTTGTTTGACAATCGTCTCTCACTTGTATGAATATATATATATATATATATATATCAAAGGATAATAAACGTCGTTCGACTCTTGACAACAATAAGGCTACTGTATCACTCATCATTATGAGGTGTTTGATTGAACATAGACAACAGTCATTGCCGCCGCTGTTCACTTTCGATGCCACTTCACTGACATGACCACATGTGTGTGTGACATACTCAATATGCACCAATGTTCGAAAGAAGAGACAACAACAGAGTAAAAGAATTGCATGCATGTCGATGTATAGAAGTTAACACGCACATGCTTAACTTGATTAGATATACTGTTGTCCACTTTGATGTGTGAAAGATTTGATATTTTGATTTTGTCATTCATTAGAAAGATCAACTGATGTACCTATGTATACACGTGTGTAAAAGATAGTGAACTTTACATAGAAGATTTATAATCAATCAATTAATCTTCTATAAAATATATTCTTTGATAAGTATACAATGGGAAAGAAAAGATTTCGTTTCTTTTTTTTTTTTGTTTTTTAATTGTATCGGTAATAATTAGAGATAGACGAGATTATCCAATCATGCGAAGAAATTGATGTTAATCTCGATCTTACACAGTTGGAAATTTAAATAGAATAGGAGTTTTTTTTTTCCATTATTTTTTGTTTCTATATGCATTATAATTTATTTTGTTATAATGTCGAAGAAAAGATCGTTTCTGTTGTTTTGTTAAGTAACAAATGAGAAAAGAGTATTTAACTATTTCTATGAATACAATAGAGTTGCACTCCGAGATCTTATAGTAATTCAACAAATGAATAAACAAAGACTTACATCTACAAGTATCCTAAGGCATTCTGATGCCAGTAGAGAGGAAATACTAAAACGGGAAACTTACATAAAGAAAAAAATTTTCTCGTAAATGCATTTTTTTTCTAATGTTTTCTATATATAAATATATATTATAAAGTGCCGGAAAAAATTATGACATCCTATCACATTATATCGGACCTCGAAACTATACAGAATATATCCACTTACGCGTCAAGGAAATTTTGATTTGTTTATGCTTGTTCTTTTTTTGAATGAATGTGTTACTAGTGAACAATCTAATTATTATAGATGAAAGTTGAATCAATTTTTGAATTTTTTTATTTGTTTGAGTCCTTGAGTGATATCATAGGTAAATGAAACACTTAAATATTTAATACTTCAATGTAGTTCAAATACTAATGCTCAATGATTCTATTTTATATTGTTAAAAAAAGGTCTCTAAACGACAAACACAAATGGAACTATTATTGTCATATGGTAAACATTGAACAATAATGATAAGCAATAAAAACAAAAACAACCATGCTTCTATTAGATCCAATGATTGTATATTTAATATTGTTAATAATTATTTTGATATTTGTTTAGACAAACGATTTGAATAAGCATAGAGTCCTTCACTTGTCTAAATTTAAAAATAATAGAGAAATAAAATTTTTATTTTATATGATATTACTTTAACAACTTCTAATTCTTGTCGAATAAGATCTTGTTGATTTGTTTTAGGAAAGATTGTTTTTATTTGTCCTTGAGTTTTATATAAATCATCTTGAAATTTTTCTCCTATATCTTTTCCTAATTTTGTTTGAAATTTATAATCTGTAAAAATTTCATGAAAACGTGGATGAATATTATCACATTCAAATGCTTCGAGTTCTTCATTTTTATTTAATAGATTATCTTCGAATTTTTTATTTGAAATATTATTTGATGGAATATAATCGATTAAACATTTTTTCTAAAAACAACAACAACAACAGTCAAAGGATTTTTATTTGAATAAAGTAAATTTATTCTTTGTCGTACATTATTCGAATTATCTATAACAATTTTATCTGTTTTCATTCGTGTTCGTTGTTGTTCTGCATATTGTTTAACAGCTTCTTCAGTTGTATATGGCAATATACCTTTAGAAATAAGTTCTTGTTCATATTGTTGTTGTATTTGACGTAGACGTTCCATATTTTCTTGAAAATTTTGCTGTAACGTTATATAATAAAAGAAATACAGTAGCGGACAAAAGTCTCCATCCCAATAGATCTCAAACACTGTAGGTGCTGGAAGTTATTGGCATTATGGCGCCGTTATTACTTCATTACAAAGGAAGTTATGATGGATGAAACCTATATTTATTGTCAGCCGACTCCTCTGTATGTCATGCTCCGCTTCAGCTATGTATATTACTAATTTCATTGAAGTTTATCGGTTTTTTCAAAGACTATGCTCATTTTACTGTGATCATTGTTGTTGAGAGAAATCATCTATTGTCATTTGGAGGTCAGCAGCTCAGTAATAATTCAAACTTTTTGAAAAGTTTCCACTACAGTTACGCATTATTACATACAAGTTTCCGAAACGAATCTTGTACTAAAGAGAAATAGAATGTAAATAATAATCTTATGAGTTCTAAGGATTCAGAAACATCAATATTCAAGAAAATGAACTTATTTTTTGGATGAAGAGAAATTGTAGACAGGACTTCAGCTGCATATATAAATAACAAGAATTAGTCATATTTTTTAGTGCGAATGCAGTGCAAAATTTCGAAGGCAGTCTTTTTTTAGGTTATAATGTTGAGAACAAAAAATAGGTGCCGTACATCATAACTCTCTTATAATTAAATAATAACGATGTCATAATGCCAATGATTTTCAGCATATACAGTAGTTGAGATCGGCTAGGGTGAAGACTTGTATTCACTATTGTATATAGTATACTGAAATTAATAAGATACTTTTCTTAAATTTTTAAATCGATTTTCTAATGTTGTCCAAAAGTATCTATCATTTAAATAGATTGTATTTGTTTTCATTAATTTTTGAAGTTTATTATATAAAGCAAATCCATCAGGTAAACCATCAGGTAATTGATAAGTAATAATACCTTCTTGTGCTTTTAATATCCATTCAATATGTTGTTGACGTTCATCAGATGAAAATTGGTCATCAGTCGGTATTATACGATTAATTGTTTCAGGTTTTTTCCCAATTAATCCAATATGATTTGTTGATGTTAAATTATTCGATCGTAGATTATCATTATCACCGAATGTCATATTGGATTTATTACCATCATGCATATTTGAATGGGCAGTAGATTTAGAAATAGTCGGTGGTATCGATATAGAATCTGGTAAATCAGTACGAAATGGCCAACGCATGGCCAATTCACCTATAAAATCCGAAAAATATTCATTTGAAAGTAAAAAACATAAAAATAGAGACATACGATGAAGTTTACTACGATGCTTTTCAAAATGTTCGGGAAACTGTGTATGTGATTGTTTCGTTGTAGTTGTAGGTAGCAGATTTTCAAATGATTTACATTTATTCTCAATCATTTTATGATAAAAAGAAGACGAAGAAAACAAAGTATATATTTATAACTAATTATCAATTACATTTTTTTTCTTCCCGCTTTGCTTTGTAACGAATGACATTTTTTTTGTTCGTGTCTGCTTCCTTAATACAACAAAATATTTGTGACACGTTAAACAAATGAGTATGAAATCAAAAATACAGTATACGTTTCATTAAAATATGAGCTATGTCAGACAAAACGAAACATACCCATGTTTCGTTTGACTTTGATTCTTTACAAAGTTTATTTTTTTGAATAAATTCTTCTAACATTAACATATGTGAAGATGTTGGCTCTGTCAGCTGACTATTAATTAAAAAATAATTAGCGAATATTTCTCTAACCACACGAATAAAAAACATAACCCAAAAATTCTAGGATAAACTCTACGACACGAACCGTATCTATGGTGAAATGTTCGACAAGAGTGGACTTAAAAAAATTTCCTCTTAAAACTGGTTTTCTAGAGATTCAGAAGAAGGATTTGTATTGTTTGGAATTAGTTTTGAACTTCTCATTCAGAAAAAACTTTGGATAGAGATTTTGTAGCCTAAACAGTTGTCTACAGAACCTACTATTTAGTTTTCAAAAATGCTACCTTGATTCAAAGTTGTTTCAAACTAAAATGCATTAAGTAAAAGTCGGTGTCTTTTTTTTATGTTAGATCTCTAATGTTAGTTTTTTTTTGTTGATAACTCCTTCGAACAAATGTTTCTAGTGCTGATTTTTTCAGGGTATCGAGAAAGACTTAACATACATGTAACATATAAAAATTGGCTCTAGGAAATTTGATTATCTCGAGATACATGAGTGGGTGTGAGTGTGAACGAAGAGAAAATCCAGACCATCACCATCACCAACACCCACACCCTCAGCTGCAGCTCCTTCCAGATCCTGGCTTGGCTGGATCCACGTCCACAAGAACGTAGACAGAATTAAATATAAAAAATAAATCAATAATCTTAAAAAAAAACCAACTTCGCTAGTTGCTATTTTGAAACCATGATTTATTTTAGCAAGAAGACATTTGATGAATTTATACAGATCAGAATATTCTTTAACATCAATTTTTTACAAAAAAAATTGATCCTCAAATATTAACCATCTTATTAAATAACAGAATTGCATTGCATAAAAATTCTCACTCTTAGAATTATGAGACCAATCTTAGTTGAAGAAGTTTCTCCGATTAATCCAATCGTTCTTTCTTCAGAATTTCCTAGATGTATGCAATTCGTTGCACTGGCTCTGAATATAAGGTTCTAGCTTCTGTTAAGTCTTTACAAATTCTAACTTCTCATTATGAATCCTATTCTGCGAAAAATATTCTTCATCAAATTAAATTTCTCATCAACCTTCTGTGTATCATTACACAAAAATATCCACAGAAATAGTTTTCTTAGAGACACTTCAATTTGAAGTTTTAAGTACTATGCTAATGAAGCATTTCCTATATTGGCTAACAGCCATTCATCTAATATCTTTTTTCGTTTCTTCATCATAGTATATTTACACATCGTTCATCATAATACTATATTTAGCTAACAAAAGAACTTCCTCAATTCTTTAATCGTTTTGAAGTCCGAACTATGTGCAACATATAGACCCTAATGAGCTATGAATACACTGAAAAGAGTTTTGGCCCTTAGCTTATTGCTGCCGATAATGCTGCATTTTTGCGGTGAGGTATGTGGTGTGGCTGTGGAATGCAGGTGCGGATATGGGCGAGGTGTGGGTATGGGTCTGTGAGCTGGGTGTGGATGTGGATATGAGTGTGTGGTTGTATAATAATAATAGAAATTCGAACAAATACCAAAACAAATGGAGCATATTGGTTTTTGGCATCGAAAGAAGCCAAATCTTTGTATTGTAGCCAAAAGTACTACCTTTTTACGTTGTTAATGAACTTGATTTTAAGAATAAAAACTTCCTAGTCTTCTCTTTCAAACAAGAAAGCCTTGGGTAAAGTTTGATCAGTAATGAAGTTATATACATTTGTTCAGTGATCATGACTTTTGGGACACCCTGTATATAATTAAAATGATGAGTAACATAATTTTATGCTAATCAAAATTGATTTCATAATAGATGAAAAGTTATCTTTCGATTAATGAACGAACAAAGATTAGATTTTTATCGTCAACTTTTCTCAAATTAAATGAAGAAAATTTTTTCAGAAACTTGATTTCAAAACAAGTTTTTCAAAAAGTTCGTTTCTTGTAAACTGGTTTAATAGTTCAATCAAATAAACATGTATACTTTTAGTCAAAGCCTTGGAAAAAAAATGAGAATAGGATAATCGTCGTATTTCATTTCATATTGTTTTATGCACGAAATCTATGTGCATGGCATTTTCCTATGTCGTCGACAAGATTTTTTCTCATTTAGTCGACATACTTTTTGTGACCAATTTCAGAACTGTGTCAAAGATAGGGTGACATTTTTCCTTTAATTTATTTTAAATTTATTTTTTGATTCAATAAATCTTTTTTAAATGTATATTGGCATCTCTATAGGTGAAGATATCTTGCCTTGGAGGAAACAATAAACTAAATAGCGACCACATCATCTAACTTTTTCAAAAATAATGTTATCTCCAATAAAAAAGGTTAGAAAAATGCTTTCGATTAATGGACATGTTTGTTCTTTACATATAAGATTAGTCATGTAGATAATAGCAAAAGAAACGTAACGTCTTTGTTTGTAGACTCGTATATATGCGAATGCTGTCGACACAACATATATTCAGATAAAGATATATTTGATTGTTGAAACTATTATGTTCTCATTTCTATTATCAGAGTTAGTTTGTCTAATAAAATGTTCCTTTTTATAAATCACTGTTGAATAGTAGGCGTCGATGGAAAGAGTTTAAAAAAATATGTCGACGAAATGGGACCAAACCCATTATTGTTCACGCAATTTCGACTTACATTCAGCGTTTATCGACTATGATAGTACGTACAAATGCTTATTGTAACAATGATTCAGATAATATTTATATACGATTATAATTTTCTACTTCCTATCGGCAACCATTGAAGTGTTTTTTCTCTTCATAAGCGAGACAGAAAGAATCGTTTCGTTAATTGTGTTGGAAAAAACCAAGCGAAACTCAAAAATGTGACGAAGAAAAAAAAAAGTGAGGATGTACAAGAGAAATTTTTGAGAGGTGGTAAGGTGCATGTAGAATTTTTAAAAGCGAAAGTGCAGAATATTTGTTTTTCTCTGCAATCTTTTTTTCAATAAAAAGAACAGTTTTAGCTGGTAACAATGTAAAATTTTCCAAAAGTGAGGGATGCGCACTCTTCATGACCACATCCCTGACGAAACTCTTCTGCCAGATACATGGCTTGACTGGGAATATTCCAAACAAGGGTGTAACTATGGATGTTGATGTGGGTGTGGATGAAAAGAAAACCCATATCCAAACACCCACGTCCTACCCACATTCTCACGATACTATATTTTCGAGAAAATGAAATCTTCGTGAAGGAGTATAGAATTTAGCTAAGACATTAAAAAAAATAATACATTTAGATAAGTTCTCTGATAATTTATGTCTTGTTAATCGTAGTGTTTTAATACATACACTAATCAAATTGGAACTTCAATATAATAATATTGGTATTCAGAGAACAGAATGTCTGATCGATATGTTACAATATAATACAATGAGATCAATTTTCTATGTATCTGTCTCTGTCAGACACATTACAAACATTCACTGAATTTTATTTTAAATGTAATCCGATCAAAAATGAAAATCAAATAATTTCAAAAAAAAAAACGAATTCAGTTCAATACTAGGATATCAGATGTCCATTATCAAATGAAATCAATCATTCTTCAGTATAATACTGTATTATCTTTGAAATTTGTCGTTCGAACGAGTATTTCTATCAAATAAATACCAATAATCAGCCATCATCAACTATGACGCAATGTTCTAATACTGTTAAGTCTTTTTAAAGTAATATGATTGAATTATTACATGCATCTGGAGTGATAGCTTTTCACTACGTAACAAGTTCATATTTTAATGCCAAAGTATCGATCTTATACTTTTCGTTGGTAAGGTGTGCTAACACTGAATCCTATGCTGAGAGATTTTTTCAAGTTTATGCATCTGTATTTATTCAAAAAAAAAAGCTCTATTGTTTAATGTAGAATTTGAGATGTTGATTGAAATCATTTCAGTTGACTCGTGATGAAATCTGTTATAACAGTAAAATGTATCTAATACAATTTAAATTCTAATAATGAGTAACCTCTTAATATGTCAATCACAAATGAAATTTGAATAGTAGTCATTTTGTAAGTTAACTGAAGTGATGTAAATTCCTTCTCCTAAATTTTTTCTTGTATTCTGCCTTTCTCTCTGGAAATTTTATGTTATGGATACGCAACGTTTTTATCTTGCGATGAACAGATTGATTATGTAACAATGAAGTTCTGTTTTCAAAAATAGAAGATAAGATAAACATCAACAATATCATTTGATTGTCAACATATCTAAAATTCATTTAACAGATACTGTAAAATACTACGTACAAAATTCAGCTCAATATCTGAAACGTGAATGGTTTAAATTATATCGAATTTAAACAACTTTATCTATTGCATCTAATGAACGTGAACGAAATTATAGTGTACTCGAACAAACTAAAACAAAGCTATAAAATAGTTTCTCATCAACGGTCTTAGAGACAGCTGTACAATTTAGTATATTATAACCACATGTTGCGGAAGACATTTAGATGATATCGTAAAACATTTTTGTATGTATCCAGGACGAGCAAGAGCTCGCAATATCAATATATATATATATATGCAAGATTTAGGATGAACAGCCGATACAACACCTCACAAAGCGACAAAAAAGAAAGTATTCACGATTAATAACGAGAGTATTAAAAGTTTCAGCTGAGAATATATTTTTCTGAGAAAAACTAATGAATGAATAGTTTCTCTGTGGCT